CCACCCTGTATATTTATAGAAGATTTTAGCACCTTGAAAATACCTCGTGAGTTACCTAGATACTTCTTATAATGTCTTGCAAATAAAGAGAGAGTCATTATTAGCTTATACATAGAATTAGGCCTGAGGCTACTTTAACAGAGAAGGTCAGGGTTAAAGCTAAGGTTTGAACAATCAGTAGCCTCTGATAATTTTGATTAAAAGAGTTAACTTTTATAATAATTTTATAAATGACCTGGAGAGGATATTCTGCTTTAATAGTAATTTTCTTCAAAGTTTCCTAAATTTTTATCACTTAGGTTAATAAACTTAGCACTCCGTAGACAGAAGGTTGGCTGTTCCCCAAAGATTTTTCAATTTGGTTCCTTTCTTTGGTGAAGCATGTTAAATTTTTTGACTCCTTCATTTACATAAATATTAAAATTTTGGACAGCTAACTTTGCCCCTACAAGATTTTTCATACATTCTTTCCCAAAGTTTGGTACTATGTATGAAAGACATACGATGTTAAATTATAATTATAGGTATATCTATCAAATGCTTCTGGGTTTTGAGGACTTCATGATAATGAAACAGACTTACTTATCACAGGCACAGGTTTTTAAAAATCCAGAGATTCTGTAAGTAAGACCATAGGGTAACTATAAGCTTTTATCATAGTATAACAAAATAGAGGCATGAGGCTCTGCAGCTTTCAGTCACCACTTGTAAGGCTTTGAATCTGTCCGAGAAATGCTACAAACAGAACGGACGGAGTTCCCGATTCACTGATGTGCCCTCCACCAGCCAGGCAGTAGACAACATGCAGGGGTAGACAACTTCCTTCCATAAATGTACACTTCACAAAAATGCTGTCTCCCGCTCAGCTTTCCCCTTCCCCCTACTTCACACTGTTCTTATTTGATGGTATTTGATGGCTTTTTAAAGTTGAATTCATGTAGGTTACCTTTAATATTGAAAATTAATCTTGAAAATCAAATATTTACTAGTTCTAGCTCATGCGGTTGATTTACACACCTCCCGATATTGTCAGTATGCAAAGACCCTACTGTCAGAAGAAATAATTTCCTTCTGAAAATTCAGCAAATCATTGCTTTGCATTGTTTGAATTTGAAAACTCCTTTTTTGATGAATAAATTAAAATCTGGATATTGTCACCAGGGGTAAGTAGTTTTTCCTAGGTTTTCTAAATCTGGAGATGTGTGCTTTAGACGCGATGTTCATATGCCTTAAGAAAACGTCGCGGTTTCAGTGGGCAAGAATTTGGTGTATCAAAACCTGACTCAAATGCCAGTGTACATATACATTTTAGTATCTTGGGTGATCTGTAAAGTGCTGAATGCGAGAGTCGGAGAAGTACCGAGTGAGAAGTACTTTCTCTGCTGGCCACTTCCCACTCTGCTGCTCCACACCCATGCACACTTTTTTTTTTTGCTAACTTTTTGACACCTATTAGGTTCTCACCAGCGTAAATGTGCTCATGTTAAACCAGGTGTGAGACACAAATATGGGCCTTCCCATCCTTTTACATTCACAAGTTTTTTAACCAGTCTGAAATCTGTGACGCACAGTAAGCTGGAAGCCACCATAAATTCTTCACAGACCCTGTACATTCAGAGAGCTCCTTTCTGTCCTACATTCTCTGCAGTAGAGTAAAAAGCGCATGTTTTCCACGAGTGGGCATTTCTCCATAGATGACGACCTCATACCTGAAATCAAAATGTATACCATGATTTTACATGGTATCTGCACAAACTGATCAGTGTTTGGGATTCCTCTACTGGAGAAGAATAAAGAGAATCTAGTTTGCCAAGTGTAAGAACCATGTAAAACCAGAAGGGTTTCCCCATTCACACTTGACTCAGCTGCCTTATTTGGAGGCAAAATTCTGGATTTTCATTCTTCCTTTCTGGCCTGTCCTTTGCCAGGGCCTCCTCATCTTCCTAACCTCTAAGTGTTGTTCCAGGGCTGAGTCTTGGACTTCTCTCTTCTACCTACACCCATTTCCCTAGTGATTTCATTTAACTTCATGGTTGTGAATACCATCTATTTGCTAAAGGTCTACAATTTCCTTCTTTTTTTCTTTTTTTTTTACACTTACTTATTTATTTTGGGGGTGGGGTGGGGCAGAGAGAGAGGGACAGCAAGAATCCTAAGCAGAGTCTACGATGTCAGCACAGAGCCTGGTGCGGTACTCGGTCTCACAAACCGTGAGATTATAATCTGAGCCAAAATCAAGAGTCAGACCCTTAACCAACTGAGCCACCCAGGTGCCCCCAAAGGACTACATTTCTGTGTCCAATCCGTACCTCCCTCTCTTGATTTCCAGACTCACATATTTCCACTTGGGTGTCTAACAAGACTCTCAAACTCAGTACGTCCAAAATTGAACTCCCAGTCAATCCCACTTTCAAGTGGGTTTCTCCCAGTCTTTCCCATTAAAAAAAATAACAACCTGATTCCTCTAGCTGCTCTAACCAAAATCCTTCACTCTTCTGTTTCTTACTTCCCATATCCAATCCAACAAGCAGATTCGGTTGGAAGTCAAGAGTTCCCCATCTCACAGAGTAGAAGCCAACGCCCTTATGATGACCCACAAGACCATCGTGACCTGCTTGCCAAAGGGCTCAGTGATGTCATCTCCTACCACTCTCCCCCTGCTCATCCGTGTCAGCCTCACTGGCACGTGTGCTGCTCCTACAACAGCCCAAGCATAGTCCTGCATTATGCCAGCCATTCCTCTGGGTGGAACCTCTCACTGTCAAGTATCTATATGCTTAACAGTCATTATTTTATCAGATCTGTACTCAAATGTCACTCAACAAGAGGCATTCCTTGGTCACCATAGCTAAAATTACACTTCCTTGCCATTCCTATCCCCATTCCCTACTTTATTTTTTTCTTTGTACTTATCACCATCTAGCACAGTAGATAGTCCATTTATTACTCTTGCTTAGTGTCTGTCACTCCTCAATAGAATGTAAGCTCCACAAAAGGACACATTTTTGCCTAATTTTTCACTGCTATATTTTGAGGGCCTAGACCAGCATCTGGCACATAGTTTTCACTCAGTAACTATTTGCTGCATAAATGAAAGGTTTTTAAAAAACAAAAAATAAAAGCCACACAATATGTCACAGTAATAACATGTACTGTGATTAGTCATCAATAATCTATCTTCTTAACTACATAAGAATCTTCTAAAGGCAGAAATCTTATCTTACATCTTTTTTCATTCTTAGTGACTGGCACAGAATGTTACATATACAGCAATCACTCAGTTAACTATGTGACAGCAGAAAATTTTGCCTAAAGACAAATCACTAGGAGACAAAAACAGAACAGAATAATTATCTAATTCAACATTAAACAGAAAGGTAAGGAAGAATGACTGTAAAAGTAGCCTTTTCCCCTCTGGTGCTTATAAGCAATAGCTTTCAGTGCTAATTGAGGACATCCACTCCGAAAATGATTATGGACGCCATGAGTCTAGATGGCTACCACACTTGTAGTCAAGGGCAGAGGTAGAGGGTTGGCTCTGGACTAGACACCTTGGCCACTCATCTGAGTTTATCTTTGGGATCAGAACCTGGAATGGTGGAGACTTTTTAAGAATTATTATATAGTTTTCTCTTCTATAAAATTGTAATAACATTTGAGACTGTGATTACACTTCTTCAAAATTAAGTGACTTTTGTAGGTCAAAGCTTGAACAGCCAAAGGTTCATGGAGAAATGGCAAAGACAGTCATCAACATAACATTACACATAACGACAGCAAGAGGCTGAAGAAGGTGACGCTGAGCCAGTCCAAGCCACATAGGACCTGTACGTGAAATATAAATAAACTATAAAATGGTTACACCCAGACAGGTTTGCAATGTAATTTAGGCTCACATTTAAACTGGTTTGAACACATGCTAAAGAAGTACAGTGGAAATAAGATGAAAGGAAATCTTGATTTCTTCAAGTGTGACTCCTTGAAGAAAAGTGTTTGCTCACCTAATTTTTAGAAAAGCAACAACTGTTACAGGATTAAAAAAAAATAACGATAAATAAAGGATCCAGATTCTGAGCAAGAATTCTGAGTTCCATGTAGAAAATGAAGAGAAATGAAGAAAAAGGCAAAAACAAACCAAAAAACCAAATCCTGATTTTCAAAAATACAACCAAAATCACAGAATTATCCATATTGTACAACATAGAGACAAGAAATGATTCTGTATATCTACCCATCAAATGCCTATGACTTAACGTCTAGGTTCACTAAGCAAATAATAATACAACAATACAAAGCACCAAAGCATTCCCTACTTTTCACATTCTTTTGTTATTTTATATCATCTTAATTATGTTTCCTTAGAATCACCTGACCTGTCTAATAATCTACATATCTACTGGTGAGCACACAAAACATCAAACAGAATACACTTGGTAGGAAACAGGGCAAGGGTTGTTTTGATATTGACAGTAATTCTTTTGTGCATAACAACTCAAGCGAGTTTCTTTTTTCCATTTCTCCCTACTGTCACCCACTCCAACCATGAATATAACTTACGTGGGACATGTAAAATTAGCTCAGCTAAATTAGCCTGATCCAACATTACATAAGGCAACATCAGTAGCTGTGTGAACAGGACACAAACCACTCAACACCAAGGTTCCACACAATACTGGCTCCCCAATGAATCTCAGTGCTTCAACAAGATCACTTAATGCTCTTTCAAAATGTGAAGCCAAGGAGTAAACTCAGAAACAACATTCTGCCTAGGCCTGTGGTCCTAGCACTCAGATAAATTTTAGCTCTGTAAAATAACTTTGCTGCCACTTGGTAGCAAAAAACAGAACTTTCTAATGACCACTAACTCTGTGTGAACATACTGTATTTCAACACGCTCACTGAACAGGAAAAGCTGGATGTTTTGTGTTATTCTAACACTCAATAACAAGCCCATAAACTACCGGATAAAAGCTGGGAATGGTTTCCTTTTACTAGCTTACCCAGTTTAGTGGCGCCCTCTGGTGGGTACTCAGGAAACTGGCCCTCGGAAGGGACACTGACGGTTCTCCTCAGGCATCGCCCTTTGGTGGAATCTGTCTGCTGCTCCTGTCCTCCCTCCACAGGTATCTAGTTAACCAAAAGACAAAAGACGTGAAACTCAATAGTGAACTTGCCATAGCTACCTTCACGCTGAATATTTTTAGCTAATAAAGATAGGAGTTCATAATCATTAGAGCAAAGTAGGCAAAATGTAGAAAGCAAGTATTTCCAACTATAAGACATTACCCACCCCCTGTGAGGAAGTTTTTCTTTAAAAAGGAACCTGAAAGATCAGGAAAGGTGAGTATGTAAATGAGCTTTACCTGAAGTCCGCACAAGTCATATCCAGGTGTGTACCTGTTTTGGGTGCTCAGAAAACAAAACACCCACACAAAGACTCTTTTATTATCAGAAGATAGTTCACAAGCTCCAATTCTTCTGACCAATGCTCAATAAGGTAAACAGAAATAAAAGCCGGCCAGAAAGAATTAGCTCCAAAACTCAATTTAAAGAAGGTTTTGTTAGATAAAAATAGTAAAATCACCAGATTTTCTTCAATTTTGCAATTAAGCATTTAGAGACAGTTAATAAAACACATTTCACTGGAAACTTGCATAGATACCTATATCAAATGGCATATTTTCTTCTCAAAGTGAGATTCATTATTAAAACCCTAAAAATTTTCTTTCTGGCCTAATTTCAGGGATCTATCAAGTGTTGTTTGCACATGTGGAATAAGAACTATGAAAGGTACAAAAGATCTCTAATACCAATAACTGTTTTATTTTATTTTATTTTATTTTAAATTTTTTTTTAACGTTTTATTTATTTTTGAGACAGAGAGAGACAGAGCGGATGAAGGGGAGGACAGAGGGACAAGAATCTGGTGAGGCAGTCGCTCAGAGCCATCAGCCCAGAACCCTGACCGGTCGAATCACAGACTCAGGCTGACTGATCATGACCTGAGCTGAAGTCAGACGCTTAAACGACTGAGCCACCCAGGCGCTCCCCAATAACTGTTTTATTTTTTTTCAACGTTTTTTTTTTTTTTTTTTTTTTTTATTTATTTTTGGGACAGAGACAGAGCATGAACAGGGGAGGGGCAGAGAGGAGGAGACACAGAATCGGAAACAGGCTCAAGCCTCTGCCACGGTCTGACGCTGCAGGCCCGGCGAATGACTCCGCGAGATCGGTCACTTGACCTGGCTGAAGTCGGACGCTTAACCGACTGCGCCACCCAGGCGCCCCCCCAATAACTGTTTTAAAACGTACTCACAGGTCATCATTGTAGAGTTACAGGATGACTCCAAGTCCCCCCGCCCCCCTTTTTTTTGGTAACATGCTAAAAGATCAAATCATTTTTGTTTACTGGCAGAGGGCAAAAGCTTTTTCACAAAGATATTTTACCAGGAACCTTTATCAGAATCAACAATAATATTGGTAACATCTTAAATAGTTTGGCAAAACACGTCAGTAATTGAGCACAGTTTCTAATTTCGTCTGGCTCCAATACTGAAATTTCAACAAAATTCAGTAATAATGATTAGCATTGAGCTCTTACTTTGTGCAAAGCTAAGGGATTTACCTGTGTGACATTATGAGGGAGACATTATTATCATCATCCCCTTTTACAGGTGAGGAATAATTTATTTCTCCAAATGATTACAGTGGACACATCAACTGATCCAGCCGAGTCGGGATAGATACAGGCTTAACTTTATATGCTTAACTTTATATGCCTTCTGCCTCACCTCGGTAACCCAACTCCTCTGCCTGGGGTCAAAGGGATGACAGCAAGGGAAACTCTCGGTGTTACTGAGAATCTGAAGAGCCAAGTCCTAATGTCTTCATAGGAACTAAAAGTCTGAACACTCTTTAAAGGACCCCAAGTTCCCCATTCCCTCATGACCATAAAACTATGGCATCGGGAAACCACAAGGCAGAATTAAGAAAAATTCTAAAAAAATAAGGGGAGACCAAATAATTTCATCAATAAGGACATGAGCTCTTCCAAAAGTCAAAAGTCCTCTGTAATATAAGACTTTACAGACAGTAATCTAAATCATCCATCCATCCCTTTCAGGATGGAAATTAATTATCTCTACTTAAATAATTAAAAGAGTAGCAGTACCAAGAAGTCAGATAACTTCCTCTGAGTAAGAAAGGCAAAGATGTGTCCTCTACCTGCCTTCAAAGCAGGATAGAATGGGGAAAAATAGTTTGAGTCTTTGAACAAAGAGACGAACATAAATAAACACAACTATTTTTGTTCTAGCTCTAAAAATACTTGTTACCTGAAACAATGAAGGCCTAAGCCTCACAGAAAAAAGACAGTAGTTGTTTTTATATTTTAGGAAGGAATGACCCATTATGATCTTTTCTGTAGAAATTTATAAAGGCCATATCCAGGAAAAAGAAAGAAATGGCTTCTACTATCATATACTTTGTCTCTAACATAACTAAGGAAGAGAAAAATAAAATATATCAAACTTCTTATACGGGCCTAAAACTCACTCACACAACTATTTTCTCAAAGTTTTCATATAGAGTCTTCATTTCCCACTCTTGAAACTTAAACTATGATTGAAAATTCCATTCAAAGTACTGATGTGGGAAACAGAGGCAAAAGAAAAAACATCAAATTTCCTTACAACTTACAGTCCATTGGGGCACCCGAGTGGCTCTGTCAGTTAAGCGTCCGACTCTTGATTTTGCCTCAGGTCATGATCTCATGGTGTCTGATGGAGCCCCACGTGGAGCCTGCTTGGGATTCTCTCTCTTCCTCTCTCTCTCTGCCCTTTCCCCACTTGAGCGCACACACTCTCTCTCTCTTTTTCTATCTCCAAATAAATAAATAAATAAACTTAAACAAAACAAAACAACTTACAGTCCACTGAGACAGGCAGAGTGACATTCCTTTAGAAACTCAGCTGCCTCGATGATGACACTTTGCTAAGAGGCAAAAGGCAATCTCAGCTTAGCATTATGCCAGCTTCTAGGATCCCGTAAGGCTACTTTAACATACAAAAATTCCTTTGGAAACTTCCTTTATCTCCACCCCCCAAGATATAGGTTGGCAATCATCCTCTAAGCATTCGGCCCACTGATACACATCCGAAGGGTCTCGTGACTGAGCTTTTACTACACAGTCATAAATGACCTTTTCCTAACGATAGCTGGTCCCTCAGGATCCTCGAAACCTTGTTTCCAAAATATCTTGGAGGCCTGTGCTGTCCCGAACCCACTCCCAACCTGAAGGAATATAATCAGTCACCCGTCGCAACCCCAGGGCAGCTTTCTACCCAGAGGTCCTGTCCCCAGGCTTTAATAAAACCGCCTTTTTGCACCTAAGACCTCTCAACAATTCTTTATTGGCCGTAGGCTCCAAACCCCAACATTTCCACATCAGTATCACTCTGAAAGGTTAGGGCATTTTTACCTCTCATTCAGGACTTGAGGGAGAACAGTGTTGACTTTTATTCTAAACCTGCATATCTTAACAATATTTTACTTTTACAGCACTATCGATTGATCCTTACCTAAAATAATTTTTAAAACATATTGATCTACTCTTTGAAAATTAGAGGGATCATATTCCAAGTATCTTCAAATGAACTAAGCTGGAGTTCACAAGTCTCAGAACACAGCCAGAGGGATCAGTTTTACAAAGTCAATTTTAGGAAAGCAATTTTGTCCTTTCTGATTGCCCTAATTTAGTTGACTGGTTCACACTTGCTTGTTTAGGACACTGAATTAGTCCTTAAATATTATATCTCTTCCTAGTTCCAAAAAAAATTAGAGGACTTTTTCTTTTCACCTCTTCGTCCTTATACTGTGCTTCTGAGTGCTCTTTTTCCTCAGGGGAGGCAGGTGGGTGGGTAAGTGCTTTCATTCATTCCATTTTACAAAGAGAAAGGAGAACACAGTAAGGAGTAAATGGCTTCTCAGGTATCTAAGATATGTTAATAACAAAGTCAAACTGAATCTCTGACTCTCAGTCCTCTTTGTTAGTTCCAAATCATCCATGGCAATGAAGAGCAACATGGGACAAACAAATCAGGTTACTTAGAAAACGTTATATACGTAACATATACCTCTATGTTGTCTGCCAAATCACCTTTCATTTTGTTTAGAATTACACAGGAATTAATTTCCATGTCAGTCAGAGTACACACACATTAAATAGTCAAGTACAGGAAACCAAGATAATGTTAACAGCAAAAGAAAGCATTTCTGGGGCACATAATTCCAAGTTTATCTGTCGTATAGGGCTTCTGCATAAGCTTTTCCACCAGGAAAGGATTCTGCTAAAAGAGTGTTTTAATACTACTACCTTATAGAGTAAGTGCAAACTCCCTAAGGCAGTATACCAGGCTTCCCACAATCTGGCCACTGTCTGAGTGTCCAGCTTCATGCAGATTTTACATTCTAGGAATACCAAATTGCTTGCACTTCCCTAATATATTCCCTATTTTGTAGTTCAGCACCTTTGCTTAGTTGGTTCTCTCAGCCTGAAATATCTTTCCTTACTTTCTTATCTACACCTGCCAAGCAAACTCCTAGTCACCCTAAGGCTTAGGACAGGCATTACCTCCTCCAGAAATCCTCCCTTCTACCAAGTCCCTAAGAGGAGGGTAAGGTACACCTCCTCAAGGTTCCTCCAACAGCATCTTCTGGCTCTGTCACCGCACCTATTACACTGAATTATAATTATGCATTTGAACGACTAATTCTGTAAGCTGTAAGTCAACAGCTTGTACCTTACCAGTCAATGGCCAAGCCCTAAAATAGCTCCAGCCCACAAATGAATGAATGAATATTTGATACCTAGAGATGGGGGCCACATCAGGCAAAGGAAAAAACTGGCCAAGAAATTGTAAACATACAACTTTTGTTTTGTTTTGGAACAGGAAGAAGGCCAATTTAGCTAGAGCCTCTAGAAGTGTGGTAGAACACAGAAAACCAAAATTTATTATGATTGCATTGGGAGGGGTTTAATACCAGGTCATGCATAATTCAGGAAGCAGTGGGAAACTATTCCAGCTTTTAGACCAGAGGAATGGTAGTTACTTTATGGGTCTGTCTTC